CTCCAGGGACACCTCAGAGCCCCTTCCAGTGCCTAAAGGGGCTCCAGGAGAGCTGGAGAGGGACTGGGGACAAGGGATGGAGTGACAGGACACAGGGAATGGCTTCCCAGTGCCAGAGGGCAGGGATAGATGGGATATTGGGACATTAAGAAGTAATCAGAGTCCCAGAGGTTTTCTCCACTGGCATCATCTTCTAGCAATAAGTTTTGCAGAATTGAGGAAGAAAATCCCCAAATCTTGCCCCATTTCTACCACTGCAAAAAACAGAGGAAAATAGAGGATGGGCAATAAATAGACACAGGGATGACCACATTCCTGACAAGAATCCACAGAAACCAGGGAATACTGAACTCCTTTCCTGTGCTAACACAAGCAAGAGATTATTTTTAATTCCCTTCATGTGGTCTGTGCCCACATTAAAGAAAATAAAAAGGAAAACTTAACTCCAAAGAATACATTTTATCCCAATCCAAAGCTAGAGCAACTCCTGCCACTGACTCCATTGTATTCCTGCACTCCAGTTTTTCCAGCTGCATTTTATTTTCTAACTTTTTTTTTTTTCCCAAAAAGCTTTTATTTCCTGGTGCACCTGCAGACCCAAAGCTGTGTTCTCATGAGCACCATTTGAAAAATTAATGCAAGTACAACTTGAGTCAAAATTCTGTCCATTTGTGATAGTCAGTCATGACTAAAGCTCATTTGATGTCCCCACAGGCAGCATTACCCTATCCCACAGCTCCTCCAGTGAACACTCCCCAGAGTGCTTCCTTAGATGAAAACATAAATAATAACATTAAGGTATTTTTTCTTCAAAGCCTTTTACTTTTCCCTGTTTATTTTGAATTCTCCCTCAAATCTGATTTCTGGCTCTATCACATCAGGGCCTGCCTTGGTGCTGGTAGAGCCTGCAGGATGGACCAGGGACCTCATCCCCTTTATCCAAGAGTCATCCTCACTCCTAAATAAGCCTAAAAACCACTAATTCTATAGAAAGCTAATTAATTTTGCACAAGTTCCCTCTTTTATTCACTGTTGCCACACTATCCCACAAAGGCAGGACTGTGTTCAGCCTCTGTTAATTAACCAGGCATCCCAAGGCCTCCTGATCCATACTAATTGGGCAGCATGGAGCAGGAAGAATGCTTTCTATCTCTGCAGAAAGGCCCAAGACAGCTCTTAAAGCTGAATTAAGCCATGAAATCTCCTCCAAGATCCCACTCTTCACCAGGAGCCACAACAGGAACTCCACGAGCAACAGGGAAGAATTCTGGGTTGTGTTTTTTTTAACATTTGAAATTGAGTCTTTTACTGAAATTAAAATAAAAGGAAGAAAAAAGAAAGGCTGGCAAGCAACACTCAGCACACAAACTGAGCTGCTGAAGTGGCAAGAGCTGGGATCCCAGATTTCAGCACCCAGAGCGGCAGGAAGAGTTTCCATCCCTGGCAGCCTCTGCCTGTGGGGTTCAGCACATTTCTCTGCCTTTTCCCTCAGTTTGGTTCTGCTGTTTGTCCAGAAATCCACTGGGAGCCAAGGCCAGAGCTGGGGGAAACACATCACTGGCACTTGGATCTCAGTAGTGCATTCAAATAAATTAAAATTCTGAATATTAATGCTTCCAGTGAAAGAATTCTCAAAACACACACTGGAGATGTGGGAATGGCATTCCCAGCACTTCCAAGCTGTAGCTGCTCTCCTGTTAACCCAGGATGAGTTAATGAATTCTCTACAGCTGGACTTAGGGCAATTAGCCATATTTATATTTAAATATCCATTTACACTGCAACTGTGATAAATATATAATATTTCAATGTGTGATTATGTATTGCCGGAGAATCAAGGGATGGTTTGGGTTGGAAGGGAATTTAAAGTCCATCCCTGTGCCATGGGCAGGGACACCTTCCACTACCCCAGGCCGCTCCAAGCCCTGTCCAGCCTGGCTTGGAACACTTTACATTTCTATACATCCAGCAATAACCTATAAATATATACACACACAAATGTCAGAGCTGCCTCTAGTTCTGGATACACAACAAACAAGGCAAATCCACGTGACGTAGTTTAGACCTGACATTATCTGCACAAAGAACTGATCTGCAGGGTTTTGTAAGCAAATCAAAGCACCTTTGTCATTGTCTCTCGCTCCAGCTGATCAGATTCCCACACACAACATCTTCAATGGATTACCAGGTTAAATCCCAAACAGCAAAGGCACAGGATTAGGAAATGCAGATGAAAAGGCCTGGGTTGAAAATGCCAGCAAGACCTTAATCCAATCTCCTCCTGTGCATCTGCAGCCACAGAACTTCAAATCTCGGATGATTCTGTCCAGGGCACCAACCATGGAGCCGCTGGAGAGAATCCAGAGGAGGCCACAGAGCTGCTCCATGGGCTGGAGTCCCTCTGGAGCCAGGCTGGGAGAGCTGGGGGTGCTCACCTGGAGAAGAAAAAGATCCAGGGATACCTCAGAGCCCCTTCCAGTGCCTAAAGGGGCTCCAGGAGAGCTGGAGAGGGACTTGGGGCAAGGGATGGAGGCACAGGACACAGGGAATGGCTTCCCAGTGCCAGAGGGCAGGGATAGATGGGATATTGGGAAGGAATTGTTCCCTGGCAGGGTGGGCAGGCCCTGGCACAGGGTGCCCAGAGCAGCTGTGGCTGCCCCTGGATCCCTGGAAGTGTCCAAGGCCAGGTTGGGGTTTGGGGCTTGGAACAGCCTGGGATAGTGGAAGGTGTCCCTGCCTGTGGCCAGGGTGGGACTGGATGATCCCTAATGTCCCTTCCAACCCATACCAGTCTGGGATTAGGTACTCCAGCTGTCTCTGGCTCTCTGAATTCCTGCCTTCTTCCCCTTCCCTGAAACCCTAACCCAATTCAGTGGAGCTGGGACAGATGCTCAGGCAGAAATCGGCTCCATCCCTGATATTCAGGCAAAGGGGTCCTTCTCTGAAACAGGAATAGGAATTTGGAGTTGGGGAACAAAATTTAGAATAACCAGCTGTAGGCACAATGAGGACTTTGAGATCAAATAGAAAATTACAAAATCATGAGTAGGTGGAAGTGCCTTCAGAGGAGACTGAGTCAAGGAACCTCAGTTACATCTATCAGTACCTGAACATCTGATTTGAGATGGAAATCCTACAAGTTTTACATTTGAATGGCACAGGGAATAACCTTAGAGGAAAAACACTGCCAGAACGTGAAGCAACTTAAGGACAGAAAAGAAATCCCAATTTTGTGCCACAAAACCCAAATAAAACTGAAGAGGGGGGAAAGAAGGAGAGGAGGAAAACCCAGCCCAGGTCTCTGAGCACTATCCATGCCCACAAAAAGCTCATCCCACTCCTTGGCCATGCCAGGAACAGACTCCCCACCCTACTCCCTTCAGGATTTTAATTCCATTTGCTAAATGAAATTATCCATAAAGACTGAAATTATTGGCAACATTGGTGCCACCCAGATAATCCCTGTGTGAGTCACCAGACATTTTTCCATGTAATATTAACAGTGCCATGATCCAGAGGGGTTTTCCAATACCTCAGCAGTGTAACCTATGGAAAAAGGGCTGTAGCCAGGTGGGAGTTTAATCTCTAAATCTACAGAGCTGAGAGGGACTTTTTATTTTTAATTTATGCAAAACACAGCCTACTCAATCCAAGACAAACCCAGAGGAAATAACACTGATTCCAAGCAAGGAACTGGGAGCATCCACCCTAAAAATCCAGATTTATTGCCCACAAATGCTGCTTTCGTGCCTTATTTCCTCACTATTTATTAAGGTATTTATTAAGAAATTTTTCCCCCTGCCACAAGACTTTAAGTGTTTCTGGAAAAGTTTTATGCACTTTATGCTCCTCCTTAACTCTTGATAAGGAGCTTAAGGCTGGTGATGTGATCCAAGCAAATTCTGGTTGGGAGTGGGGTTTTGAGATAGGCAGATGGAATTTACAGCACAGGGAATTCATCTCCTTTTTTTCTCTAAATCAGAGCATTCCCTGGCAGTAAAGGGAATAAAGCTTATCTGTGAATATGCAATTATTCGGGGTGACAAACAGCTGATTTGTTGGAGTCACAGAATTTATCTGGGCACTAAATAAAAAGGCAGAGAAGGAACAACACCCCAGCAAAGCTCAGGAAAAAAAAAAATTTAAATCAACTCCAATGTCAGCAGCGCTTTTCCTCCAAATCCACAAGAACATCTTCCCTGATGGAGAGGCATGGATGAAAGAAAGGGAGCAGAAATTAAATAAATTACTGCCACACACATATTTCCTGCACTTAAATCACCTTTTGGGAGGGTTTATTAACGACTTTCTGGGATATTGAATTCCTCAGGCCCAGAAAGGAGAATTGTGGGAATAAAATATGGGAGAAAACTGTGATGGGTATTTTACATCCATTTTACATCTGCTTATGGGGCAAGGTTGGGGGGGTTTGGGGTTTGGTTTTTCTTTTTGGTAGGGTGCAGGGTTTTGCATTTTTGGAAAGGTTGTAGGGTTTATTGTCATTTTTTTCAGAGGTTTCTTTTTTGGTTGGTATTTTGTGGGTGATTTCTTTGTTGTTTTAGATAAAAGCCTGACCCTAATGAGACCCCAGTTAAAGCCAGGCAGGCAATGCCCAACTCCATCCCAACACTGCTGGATCTCTTCCCAGAGCACCTTTTCCATGACACCTGTAAAATATGCTCCAACGTAAGTGTCCCGTCAAATCTGAAATGAGACTAGGTTTTCACATTCCCCTCCTTCCCACCACTCACCCAGGGGCTGAAGAAGCTCATTCCCTTCTGGACACCACAGGAAATGATGGATTCACCCCCCAATTGGATAAAAAAAACAATTAAAAATATATAAACCCTGCTCAAAAGTGGATTAATTTTCCCCACAACTCCTCTCGTGCTCTCGATGGCTGCCAAACTGGGGAGCTGCTCTTTGCAGAAAATGAGGAGGCTGGATATTGTCAGCAGAGGGTTCTGAACTCATGAAATCCCAATATTCAAAGCACTTACCTCTTCCAGGACATCTGCAAGCTTACTGAGGATCTCCTCGGGAAGGCTCTGGAATGTGGGAACGCTGCAATACAAAAGAAACCTCGATTAATGGATCCCTTTACACAGGGCACAGATACAGCTGTTTTCCTTCCTTCTGTCTTCTTGAGATTTTTTTTCCTTCATGCTCCAGGGCTGAACAGGAAAAACATACCATGGAAAGCATCTCCTTTTTTAGCAGCCAGGATGGATTTGGTGATGATGGGAGACCATTGGAACAAACCTCTGAAGAGCCACCCCTAAAGCTGGTAGTCAACATGGGATCCATTCAGGATCCACTGGAATTCCTGTGAGCCACAAACCTGCTCAGTCATAGTCCTTCCTGGTTTGCTTCAGCCCTCCAGAAATAAAATGCAACACAAAAAAGAGCAGTCCCAGATAAAAGAGTGAACCACACCTGGATGGACAGAGGGCAGAGCACAGGGCTCTGCAGCACTGAGCTCCCATCCAAGCCCTCAGGGAGTTTCTGAACATTTCCCTGGTGGTTTTACAGCCAGTTTCTGTGGCTCTTCCTTGGCCAAAAGGTGACATTGTCACTTGTTTGGCAGCAATTCCCTCAGCAAAACTGCCCAGGCCAGGGTGGGATGAGAAGGTGATGCAGCCATAAAGGGTCCCCTGACCCAGGGCCCACAGGACCACAACTAAATGAGTCTGGAGCAGGATGGGGGACACGAGTTTGGGTCCCCAAACCTCCAGGGAGTATCCTGACTTTGAAGCTGTATCTCCAGTCCACACAGGGAGGCTGTGGAATTGTCCTCCTCAGAGAGACCCAAAAGCCATCAGCACATGGAGCATGTCAAGCTGAACCAGAGGACCTCCAGATGTCCCTCCCATGTCAGCCAGCCTGTGATTTTCAATATTCTGGTTTCTCCTCCTCTCTTTTCCATAAAGACCTGAGATCCATCAATATTCCCAGCTGATGCTGAAGGAAACACACAGACACCACAAAAACTGAACCCAAAATACACTGCGGCCCAGAGCAGCTGTGGCTGCCCCTGGATTCCTGGAAGTGTCCAAGGCCAGGCTAGACAGGGCTTGGAGCAGCCTGGGATAGTGGAAGGTGTCCCTGCCCATGGCAGGGGTGGGACAGGATGGGATTTAAGGAGCAAAGGAGGCTCAGGGGAACCTTCTGGCTCTGCACAACTCCCTGACAGGAGGGGACAGCCAGGGGGGTCGGGCTCTGCTGCCAGGGAACAGGGACAGGACAAGGGGAAACGGCCTCAAGCTGTGCCAGGGGAGGCTCAGGTTGGACACCAGGAGGAATTTCTCCATGGAAAGTCTTGGCAGGGGCTGCCCAGGTGGAATCAGCATGCCTGGAAGGGCTTAACAGCCATGGAACTTGGGGATATGGGTCAGCATATTGGGGATGGGAGCAGTGCTGAGGAAGCAGCTGGACTTGATCTTTTATGTCTTTTCCAACCTAAATTATTCTCTGCTCATTTACCCTTCTTTAAAAAAAAAAATAGCTTCAGTTGAATCTATTTAATGATAACAAGACAAACCTGGGCTGATAAATGCAGAAAAATATCACCTTTCATGCTCAAAACAACAGCTTTTTTTCTTTTCCCCTTTAGGAAGAGCACTTTTATTACTGGGATCACGTGGAGCCACATTGTTACAGGAACAAGCAAACAACTGGACAGGAATTCTGTGACAGCCAGGCTTAAGCATAAAATGCAAGTTTATTACATCAATTCCAGCATTCCCAAATGAGGAATGAACTTATGGGAGAAGATAACAGCCTGGGACAAGTGGTCAGATTTTAGTGGGGTTATGCCTTAAACTCACAAACTGGGGAGGAACCCACCTCAGGGTATTTTTTAGTGAATAATTATGCCTGTGAAATCCTAGGAAGGGTAGAAAGACATTTATTATAGACCAAATCCATGAAAAATCAGGGAAACTGGCCCTAAGTTCCTAACAAATTCCAGCTCTCACCATGAGAAAAGCCTAAAACTTCCAAGAGCAAATAACAGGAAAAGCATTTTGTTTGTTGACAAAACTAACTCCAACACATCATGGAATTACACCATTAATACCCCAGATTTAGGGGAGGTTTATGGCAGGCCAGAATCCCCCTGAATAGCCAGAAGTGACAAAACAACCAAATATTTGCGTTTCTTTGATAAGCACATAGCAAGACATGATTCTCCAGATCAATAAAAATCCCCCTCTGCTCTCCACAGGACAATATTAAGTGGATTCATAAACCAGAGTCTCAATTCCCTCCACAGAACTGCCTAGATTACTGAAGGAGCTGTGTACAAAAGGAGTGTTTCCATGATTATTTCCAGGTGGGTACTTGCCCAGAAAGGCAAATGGAGCCTCAGCTCTCCAGGGAGAGCCTTGAGCAAAACAGCTGAGCTGCAAATTGCTCCAAGTGGGAAAACACACAGGACAGAGGCAAACAGGAGCAGAAAACCTCCCAGGGAATCTTTGATCACCACAGCAAGAGGCAGGAAAATTGTATTTCCCTTTCTCCAGCTGTGTGAAAAAGGCTGGAACTATTGAAGGGCAAATACTCAGCCCTTGAGTTGGGATGTATTTAGAGTAGGAGAAATCACAGCAACAAACTGCTCCAGCTGTTCAAGGAACAACTGTTCTGCCCAACAAAGCAGGGTCAAACAAACCCAGACTTTCCCCAACAAGTTCTCCTCTCCTGCTCCTTAAATCTCATCAATAAAGAAAATTTTTAAACACCCACTCCAGACAGTAATAGTGCTACAGCTGGCAAAAACAGATATTCTGGTATGCAACACTGAAAGTCCTCAGCAAAGCTTGAAACTTGTGACTTTTCTCCCTACCTGGAATACAAGTGAAGGATTTCACTTGTTCCTTTTTTTCCACAACCATCTCCCACTTTGCCCAGGAAAAGCTGGACTTGATAATCTTGCAAGTTTTTTCCAGTTTAATGACTGGGATTCAATTGTAGAATAAATAAGAGCAGCTTGCCAAGCTCTCACAGCATGATGGGGCTCCTTCTACTTTCCTTACCCAGTCTTTATAAGGGACTTTCTCCAGTTGCTTCTTATTGCACTTAATGAAGAGTAATTTCTCCACATGCCCTGAATCCACTCCCTGGATGAAGTTACGGAATTCAGCTGGGGATGGAATAGAACTATTCACTATTCACTGACCTCCTGCTCACCTGCAGCCCTTCTGCTCCTCCAAGTTCTTGAAGGTGATAGGGCGTTATAAAGTACGGATAGCAAATTATTTATGCCTATTGGGTAGGATCCCCTGGCCAAAGTGCAGCCCAGGATCCACAGGAGGATCCAGGCCACCCTACAGAGACAGCAAACAAGGAGGCAAAGCAGATCCCTAGCTCCAGGGATTTGAGTTTTAACAGAAAATGCAATGAACTGGACGATTTTAATCCATCCACACAGAGCTTTTATCAGGACAGTGCGAGTGCCATCGCAGGGAACAGGATGAGGAACCTGCTCCAGCCACCCTGCCCCTACACCCTGGACAGTGAGCAAGGGAAGGAGGAGAGGTGACATTTTCCTGGCTGCATTCCCCACTGCTCAGCCACGGAACATTGTGCAGGGATGGCAGTTCCTGGACCCAGGAGAATTTCCCGTGGGGAACTGCTCCCTGTCTGAAGCGATTCTGCCTGGCTCCAAAAGTGACACATTTTCCCAGAGAGCTCAACATGCCCAGCACCAGCTGCCATACTCAGGGAAAACAGCTGTGCTAAAACATCCGTGGGTTGAATCCCTGTCCCCATGGAGGAGCAGGGATATGCCCAAATTCCCAAAGGAAGTGGCAAAGGTCATGGCTCCATCCCTGAGGATGCAGTCACCACGCTGCTCTCAACTTCCAGGTGGAAGCAACATCCCCACGAACTCACGCTTTGATTCATCCCTGTGCTCCATCCCACGGGATGGCTCCTGGAGGAAGCAGCAAGGGCTTCCAAGCAGTGCTGGCTGTGGCCCAAGGCGTTGTTTGCAGCCTCAGACGCGCTCGGATGCAGCGCTGCCAGCTCTGACAGGACATTTATCTTCTGACACACACACACACCACAGCTCGAAGGGCTCCTGGCTCTGCTCTGCCTCCAGGCTGTAAAAGCAACCATTCACTCTCGAAATCCCTTTCAAGATGCATTCCCAAACTTTTAAAGGGTGTTCGGTGAGGGTGCTCATCCAGGTCGGTGGCAGATGTTTCTCCTGGGTTAAGCCTGGAACAAAACTTCTCTCTTTTATTGCTGCTTGGCACCATCACAATTGCAGTTGTCACTGCTCTGTGCCTTGGGTAAGCAGAGCTCCAAACTCCAACACTCCAGTAAAAGGAAATTAAGGATGAGTTCCCTGAAACTTCTTTTTGGCACCCAACTGGAATGAAGGCTGGAAAATGCAAATGTCCTTCCTTAGCACACTTGGGCTGCTCCTAGAGCTCTGTCTCAGTTCCAGAAGAACTGATGTTACATCTGAACAGCCCAAGCTGATCCTTGATTTGGCATATCACCAAAAAATGGTGTTTTGGACAACTCAAGCTGTACAGGCAGCCTCACACTGGGCTCCCAGTTGTGTCAGGGAGGGAATGCTAGCTCCATTGAGAACATGGTCCTGGCATAATTTCATCAGAATCAGAGTGGCTGGGGTTGGAAGGGACTGTAAAGCCCATCCAGTGCAATGGGCAGGGACACCTTCCACTATCCCAGGCTGCTCCAAGCTCTGGCCAACCTGGCCTTGGACACTTCCAGGGATCCAGGGGCAGCCCCAGCTGCTCTGGGCACCCTGTGCCAGGGCCTGCCCACCCTCCCAGGTACATTCCTGTTGTGTTGCAAATTGCTGCATCAAAAGATAATTCCTCTTTTCTGTCAGATTAATAAATATTATTTGGCGGATCAATTGCTGGTTATTTTCATTCATAGTATCCAGAAGGGAAGTGGCAGAAATTAATTTCAGGAAAGGTGTATCTATTTCTCAAAAAATCTCTGTCCTTCCCCAGTCACACAGGTAATTGCTAAGTCAAGGCTGGTTTTCCTTTAGTAACTTCCCATATGCTTTGCTTGGATTCATG